ATCGTATGACGTCAGCAGTTAAATTTCCGAGCGACGGAAGTGACGTATTATTACAAAGCTAATTAGCATATTATAATAATAAAAGGTGTCGTTAAGATAACATCCCCTTAACAAACTTATCAATAAAGTAATTGTTTAAGTATTACACCTAACAATCGTAAAACAAAGATCTTTTAATAATTCTTAAGAATTTCTAATAAATTATGAATATATTTTTCGAAATTGTCGACGTGTTTAAATCATAGATAATTAGGCAAAGTAATTTATTTTGATTATACAACACTTAAAAATGTATTTTAAGTGCTGTATATTTTTGAATTTTGAATCAGTATGACGTCAGTTTTGTTTAAAAAAAAAAAAAAAAAGAGTTCGTACAGCGGAAGTGACGAATTATACGCAGTTTTAATAGATATAATTTGCACATTATTATAATGCCGTTTAAAAAAACGAAGGCCCTCTAACACACTTATTATTAAAAATAATTAAAAATTAATTTTGACAACGATAGGATTATAATATACTAATGTTCTTAGTAATAATTAAAGTACTGTACTGTACGTTTGATTTAATTATAAATTTTATACAAGTTTCTGGAAAGTGTAAACACGTTTAAATCATTGGTAATTAAGTAAACTAATTAATTTTCATTAATTCGCCTTACTGAATATTTTTTTTTAGCTGATGTAATAATTACAATTTTAATTTATTTATGGCTCTATCGACAGGAGCGACACGTGTTTTAAAATTTTGAATTTTCCAATGTAATTAACATATCATACAAATTAATTAACCCGTTAAAATAATGTACAAATGCTTTCCCATTTCGTGTTTAAACACGAAAATAACTTCGGAATCTGCCTTATATACAGTAATATATATATTTTGTAAATAAATACTTTATACAGTATATTAAATAACGTGTTGTTAAATATTAATCGCGTTAGATACATTTTAATAACAGACTTAATAACTTTCGCCATTTTCAAATTATATTTACATTATTTATCATGTTCTGAAATGGCTTTCATGATCATTTCGCATAACGCATTTACGAATTTTCAATGTTTAATTTAAATTTGAAATTATTTTGCTCTCTGTAATTGGTTAAATTTAAAATTTCGAAAATTCGACGTCACATTTTATCTGATGAGGTGTTTTTGTTACGTCACAATGAAATTTCAAAAAAAGGATTTAAATGCATTTTTTTTTCTTTTTTTTTAATTTGTCATAATATTTTCATATGCATTTGTTACGTCCTAATATAAAACTTTTTCTTTTAAAATGACGTTATTTTAAAAAATTCTACGTAACAATCTTTTTATGCGATTTTGACGTCACAATAAGCTTAAACAGTTCTTTTAATTCTACGTAACAATACTCTTCGTACGTATTTACGTCACAATGTAATTTTTTGTAAAATAAGTCTTTAATAAGAGAAAAAGAATACTGTATAATTGGTGTATATTTGTTACTTCATTACAATTTAAAAAATTATAAATAGTTCAGCGATTTGAAATTTGAAAACTCGACGTCAAAGTAATTTTATTACGTAGTAAATACGTCACAATATAATTATTAAAGTTATAACATTACGTAGATAAATATAATATAAACACGTTAAATTATAATTTTAGTAATTGTAGAGAACGGTGTGCGATATAAATTTAATTTTGTTTAATTAATTTATAAAGTTATAAGCCTTATAACAATCTNTAAAGAAAAAAATAATAATAATAATAAATTAGGAGGCGTATACGATTCCGTCCTTAAAAGGGCGTTAATGGCATCGTTCCGTCCGTCCGGATTATATTTTTGCATCCCCCGATTTACGAGCAAATTTAAATGGCTAGCGTCTTTATCGCTTTCTTCCGTTTTCCTACTTAATTTATGAAGCGTGGAGAGAATTCATATCGATGTATTTGCATGTTATGGGACAAATTTACATTTCAGTTGTGTAAAATAAAATAGGGGGGGAAATGGAAGCGGAATTTGAAGCTTGATCGTTAAATTTAGTAACGATATAGTTTCGTGGAGAAACGTCGATGTTTTCAGCCCTTTTCGTTTCCAGTTTACGATTGTATATTATGGAATTTTTATTTATTTTTTGTTAAGTTTAGCAATTCGAAAAACATGTACACTCAAATGCGAGTTTATACACCTTTGTTTATTTTATGTTATCATCATCATTCCCCGCAAATTTATAGTCTCCTATAAAAAAAACAATGATAATATTTTATGAAAATAAAACAAAAAATTCGATTGATTGAACCTTATCTCGTTCGATAATACCCTCAGCTACACCGCCAGAAAAAACAAAATGATGTTGACTTTCTGAAAAAGGAAAAATCTCTCTTTTTTTTTTTAAAAATCCAATCACTCAAGGACGAAGCGTCCTTGTAGAGCACGCTTGCATTTTGTGAAATTAACTTGTATGTTCAATAATTTTAATAATATTTATTAATAGCGATCAGTAGTAGTGCGGGTGATTGATTACGCTCGACTATACGGCTTTGCATAGTAATCGATGCGAACTCCCCATATTGATCATAGCTAGCGCTTCAAATTAATTAAATTAAGCATATATTACTTTATTCTAGGAATTGCTCGGCATGCTTACTCTTAAACGTAATTTATTGTTAAATGCTGAAATTTCAGGCATAAAAAAAAAAAAGAAACTAGAAGTATTGCTTAAGAGGAGCAGAGTTCAAGGACGTCGAATAGTTAAAAGACAAGTTCTTTTCATTTTTTCCTGGATAATACATATAGGAAAAGTGGCGAACTTAATCGCCATCGAACAATTTTTATATTTAAATTCCTACGTCCGTGCTTAGATTTCTAAATGGCCTAAGTTCGTAGGAAAAACGAAACCGCCATTCCACTACAATAATGGTATTTCGGATTCCTTTCTGTTCCACTTAAGTCTATTTTAAGCACCCGGTACATCTGCGTAATACGGTAAACGTTGTATAACGATTACACAATATGGAAAGTAAAGTTTTAATCTTACCTCCTCCCAACGGTCGAATATGCATCCTTTCAGTAATAATTTTGGCACGGGCCGCCTCCAGTTAAACTCGTAAGCTTTGGTCATGATCTGGCCAAGAATAACTGTAGATGTGCTTTCACATCTTCACCTGAAAAAGAGAAAGTAGGTAAAAAGCCTGATAAGTAAAAATGCGGTCGAAATATCTTGTTACATTCCTTACTAGAATAATAAATATCTCGGAATTGTGAAGCGAAAAATGTCCTTTTTATTTATTATTATTTTTTTTATATAAAAGAAAGTCTTAAAATTAATTTTTTAACATGATAATAGCTGCTCTCGTTCGGTTCGTATTTGCATCCGGAACTGAATGCAAACAGAGTACTTCTTCAACAGTATTATTACTTCTTCTGGCTCGGAATTGGAATTATGTATGCGTACTGACCTAAACAAAGCATTAAAATTACAAAGAATTTTGAATTTTTAAAAGCGAAATAAATAAATAAAAAAAAAAAAAAATATTTTTTTAAATTAATAAAAAGAAAAAAAAAAGTGGGAGGAAGATATATTACTTTTCAAG